TATAAATCATGGTATTAATATTACAATACCAGCATCACAATTAATAACGATACCAATAACAATATCTGATGCATATCAGCAAACAGTAACAAATAATCGACGATTATCAGACGATACAGTATATATTTATTTTAAAATAAAAGATGGTGATTTTATGTTAATATTAACAAATGAACGAATTAATAAAGAACAATCACAGCAAAATTTAATATATTTAACATGTTACATATCACCAATGCCATCATCAACAATAACAACAACCAATGATTATCATGAAACACATTCTTATATCAATAATTTACCACCAGAGACACATGAAGCTGCTTTACAAGGACAAAAATTTAAATCAGCTTCAAATCATTTTCATAAAGGTTGTAATACAGATGATTATATACAATATTGTTTAAGAATTAAATGTCAAACAGGCCATGTTTCACTTATCCATGCTGGTGTTAATGGTATTTACAATCATTCATCACTAGAATATACGTTCAGTAAACAAGAATTAGATTTAATAATGTTACAATACATACAAATTCAAACTTGTGCACAAACAATATCAGTACAAAAATTTGTGGTTAGATTTGAACAAATACAAGACTTACATCCAACAATTGATAAACAATTTAAAACAGAAGTAACAATTGTTGCCGATGAATCAGATTCAGATGAATCAGCATCGTCAGTCAGAAAGAGAAAAACAAGACAGCAATATACGCCTGCTCAAAGCTCAGCTCCAGCATCATTGCCTGGACCAGTTGAACTAAAACGTGCTGAAAAAAAACCGGGTTTGGTTCGTAGAATATGGCGAGAAATATTTGGTTCTAAAACCGACCCACCACAAACCCCAAAACAGCAAGAACAATACACTCACCAACAGCAACAACATCTCCCACAACAACAAGCTTCCATTCAACAACAACCCCAGCAACAGTCAAGATCTCAAAGAGCACGATCGCAAGATTTATCACAGCACCATCAGCAAGAACAATACCCTCACGAACAGCAACAGCAGTCACAGGCGTACCAACAACCACAACATCCTCCACAACAACAAAACCAGCAACAGTCAAGATCTCAAAGAGGACGATCACAAGATTTATCACAGCACCATCAGCAAGAACAAATTTCTGAGAATCCGCCTTGTAAAGATTCCATTCACTGTTTATTACAATATTCTGAAACTCATGCAAATCAACATAATAATAAATATACACATCCTTGCCGCTTCTCAGAAATTTGTCGTAACAGACATAATCGCAAGCATGTTTCACAATTTATACATTATGAACATAATGTGCCATTATGTAAATATGATCAACACTGCACAAAAACACATGATCCAATACATCGTTATGAATTTCGTCATACAGATTTAGCAGATTTATTACGGCCATGTAACTGGCAAATAAACTGTCGAGATAAATCATTAGTAAGACATTCAATTACTTATTCGCATGGCGAAAATATTCGATTATCAACTAGTACGTATGACAAATATTTAGAAATGATAATACTTGAAAGATTTTTCTTTCTATTTTCAGGACGTGCATCCATATCTAATCATAGACAAAGATTTCCATCGCAAAGAAATATACTGAGCGATGACGGAGAATAAACATCACCACGTCTGATAGTAACCAGACTACATTCAATTCAATCTTCGCGCAACAGAAAATTTCCGTAATAAAGGTTTTTTGTATAATTTGTTTCGCTTACTTAAATACAAACAAAAGTCATCGTTAGGAATATTTTCACAGGTGGCATTCACTACTGCGTATGCGTCACACTGATTGCATTGAGTCATCTGTGTTCTTGCTTCTCCGTTTTTCTTGCATCTACTTGACCCATGTATTAATCCGGTACAGCCGGAAAACAGAAAAGACAACAGAGTATTTACCAGACGTGAAAGTTGTGATAAAGGTCAGTGCAGCTAGAGAAGTCGATCCTCCAAGAGTCGCAGCGAACGAGATGTGTAAAACGAAAATGGACTTGGATAGTGGCATCTGCTAAATTTTCCAATGAATAAAACGATGGTGGATCTTTTTTTCTACCTTAGATTCCAAAGTTGCGCAATAACCTTCTCGCGGATACGAACATCGCCGCAAATGTCGTGGAAATGTGACTTTTAATGCGCAAAACGTTGATAGTTTCTGAATTGAAGTATATTCCGGGGACATCGAAACTTCATCCGATGGGGTCCCATGGGCAGACTTTAATATAGATACCTGAGACGATATATTACATTTCGAAGTTTGACTTTTCTTTCTTCAGTTAAGAAAACAATAAAAGTACCATCGAAAACTGAGACTTTAAAAACCCCATGAAAACGAAAGTCAAGAAAATAATTTTGTAGTTTCATTTAAAGCACACTCATTCTTCCATTGAGGTAAAACAATCCTCTTGTTGTTTTTATACTACTGGTTTAAGTAGATATTTGCTTTTTACCTTTTTCTATGAGCCTGGAAAAATGTATGAGAAGTAAACACAATTTTTTTCTGTTGGAAAAAAAGTGTCCAAACTTATTTTGTTAAATTTTCCACCTATTTAAACTCGAAAATTGCTGAATACAGAGAATGAAGGACCGTCTATACACTTTTATCAGACATTGATTTATAAATTATATTAAAAAAATATAAGTCGATCTAGGGCATCTATCATAAACCACTGTTGAGTCACCCACGCATACTCGAAAATATAAAGATGCTAAATGTAACTGTAAGATATACGATTAACTAAATGTTAGTCTATTCCACGATTGTAACTGATGGGATGCTACCGTTATAATGCATCGCCACTACACCATTGTTCACTCAAATTTTTGCGGAAACTGGCTCCGCTTAGAAGCACACAATATATGCATAATCTCATCGGGCTGAACGATTAAGATAAAGTGCACCTAGATATTTTGAAGTAATTTACATCAGCTTTGCCTGAGTTTCTTGGTGTTTGATGAAAACGGCTAGAAATGGGTTATTCTATCTAATATAGGTCTTCATTAAGGTTTTTAGATTTTGTTCTGAAAACTAACATTACCGGAGAGTCAGTACAGTCGTTATTCCAGATTCCAACTCATTTTTAAAGTCCCGAGTCGAGACTCTAAATCGCATTCACATCACAATAAATCACGAGCACATGTCTGGACTTCCGACATGCGAGCGTCTTCTAGTTCTGGAGTATCTAAGAAGTCCATCATCATGCCCAAACGATAAAAAATGTAGCGTTGGAAAGATCCTTACGACACTTGGAGCTATCCGTTCCTGTAAGAAAACGAATAGGTTCCTTTTCTGAATTGGTGGACATAAAGGGTGGTTTGCTGGAGAATTTCTAAAAGCTCTATTTTCAACAAAGATTTTCAACTTTTTTCTCTCAGAGAAGGGTGCTTTAAAGTCTGTCCGTTGAATGATGCAAGGCACAATGCTCTAGCTATGATCAAGGGTAAGTTATTGAAAAAAATGGTCATGTACACTGGTTTATTGGAGACACTGTACCACCTACCAGGTTAAAGTATGATTATATTTGGGAAACAGTAGCATGCAGAGTAATTAACTTTTAACATTTATTTCACTGTTGGATAGAAACAGAAGATGGAATATATCGCTTTTCAATATTCAATGGCAAAATGGTTAATGTTTTAATTGTTAACCAAACTTATAGTTCGCATAAAGACTTTTTCGATAGGCTTACGAGGGAATCTCTTGAGGTTATAAATAGCTTTTGAACTCGGAGTACTTTTATCTTGTAGATCTCGGTGAGTAGTGAAATACGCTAAGTTAGTTTGTGCCCTGGTGCTTTGTTGCTGAGATACTGAATCTTTAGTCAGTTTTTGTCTATAGAGCTTGGATTTAGAGCAAAATCCGACTTTCGAATTTTGATTTCAAACTTGCGACACTTATAGCCCATGGTCATAGCAGTACGACGGGAAAATGTTTGATCCTAATGAGTTTTCCTGCCTTGAGATATTGAAACTCGAACATTTTACCCTTACCTTGTGAAATGTTCGAGTCTCAATATCTCACGGCAGAAAAACTCATTATAAGTGTGGCAAGTTTGAAATCAAAATTCGAAAGTCGGATTTTGCTCTAAATCCAAGCTCTATAGACAAAAACTGACTAAAGATTCGGTATCTCAGCAACAAAGCACCAGGGCACAAACTAACTTAGCGTATTTCACTACTCACCGAGATCTACAAGATAAAAGTACTCCGAGTTCAAAAGCTATTTATAACCTCAAGGGGTTCCCTCGTTAGCCCGATATATCGCGGTGTGACGATTTATCGTCATAAAATATCGTACCGTGATGTAACGCGTAAACGTATTTTATTGCAATAGGTCATCACGTCGCAAAATATCGTACTTTTTCCCTTAAAAAAATCCTCATAGGTTCTTTCATTACATTTAATCTTTTACTCGACCGTGTTATAATGAACTGTTTCAAGAAACTTTTTGATCGAAAGGAAACACTCATTGACTTGTGTGAGTAATAATAGCGTCACGTTGTTATTCATTGCACGAGCTGTGTAAGTCACCTCGAATGAGTATCATAAGTATGAAATATAAAATCATGCTAGTGCATTAATTCATTCATCGATGATGTATACCTTTTATCAGTGTGGAAAAAGCCAAACATACCTGTAAAATTTGCGTCAAAAGTAAAGAAAAGAAAAAGAAAATCGTGGCGCCTGTTTCTGCCTGTCTTTTTCATGAAAAAAGGTTTTTTTCCTATTTTATATGTCATTATTATTGTAGTACAAACTAGAACAAAAAGGAGGAGAACACTTATGCCTTTTATTAAAGGGAAATATCGATAACTGTGTACTTTTTCTCTCTACTAGAAAAAACCATTGATGATTACAATGATATTTCCTAACTACTAGTCCATCTGCTCAACTATTAAATAGGTGTTTAGTACACAAGAGTTTAATGAGATACTTTTATTGTTACCAGTTTCAATATAAATTTTACTTAAAATTTATTTTTCAAATTTTTTTCTAAAAAAGTATGAAGCATAAACAAGGTGTCATCAGTGATAACAACGATAGTTCAGAACAATATACATCCAAACCGTGTGAATTTGAAACAAAGGTAAATATTGTGGTACTTATTATATTATTCGTGTGATTCTATTAACATTCTTAATCTGTTTTAGCTAAATGTTTTTCGACGAACAAAATCTCTTTCATGTACTAATTTTTCAAAATTATCTAAAAAAACCTGTTTAGTGGATAAACATAAAAAACAGTTGTATATCGATTCATTGATTCAGTGCACATCAGTCAAATGTGGATGTTCTGATAAAGTAAGAAATAGTCAAATCGATCTATGTGTGGTATTATTACTATTATTGTAAAATTCTATTTAAAAGGTCCATCCGACTGAAATGCATGAACATCTTTTATTGACAGTACAACAACAGCCTCTAATATCATGTCTTGATCATTATAATTTACCCATTCATCATCCAATGCACAAAGCAGAGAATGCTAATAATATTGTACAAATGCCTGCTGATTTATCTTTAACTTTACCATCCTGTCCGTCTACTATGGAATTTGAATCACCATTACCATATGAATCAGCCATCAGCGATTTGCATGTACAGAATAAAGAGATATATGAAACGTTGACCATTCTAACAGGCGGAATACAAACACTTAGAGAAGATTCAACAAAGTTGACAGATAAATTTTCCGAATTAGAATCTAATATAAATAAATATTGTCAGGAACAAATGAAATTGAAACAATCAGTAGAAGAACAATATACATTGTTAAGTGGCATGCAAATGAATCAACAAATATTAGAACAAGAGTTAACTACTGCAAAACAAAATGTTGAGAATGTAAAATATACCACGTATGATGGAACATCTGTTTGGAAAATTAAAAATGTAACACAACTGATGTATCGAGCACAGTGTGAAAGTCAGCCAAGTATTTATTCTTCACCATTTTATTCGTCATCATATGGTTATAAAATGTGTATGCGATTATATATGAATGGTGATGGAAATGCAAAACGAACGCATATTTCACTATTTTTTGTTTTAATGCGTGGTGAATACGATGCAATACTCAAATGGCCATTTCATTTTAAAGTTACATTTTGTTTGATGGATCAATCTGGAAAACAACAACATATTATTGATTCATTTCGTCCAGATATTAAATCAAATTCATTTCAAATACCTAAAACATCAATGAATATTGCTTCAGGCATACCAAAATTTTTTCCGTTATCAGCGTTACAACAAGACGGTAATAATTACGTGAAAGACGATACCATGTTTATTAGATGTATTGTGGACTTCAATGAGATGCCAAAAATGATTCTTCCGTATTCATTAAGTTTAAATCTTGGTCTACCTGATCATATTCAGAAATTGATGATTAAAGCAGAAATTCAAAGGCGACAACAGTCATCAATATTACAACCACAAATCACAAAGCCCTGTGATTAGAAATCTGAATAAGAGAGGAAAAAATGACTATGGTATTATTCGTTGGACAAGTTCTTATTTGGTGACTGAGGAAATGGTGTGTAAACAAGTTGAAAATTCATTTGAAATACCAGTTGAACATAGATACGAGTAGGTGACGCAAAGTACTGCCGGAAATATCATTATTTACTACATCAATACAATTTGACCTTTCTACAGAGTCATCATCACACGTATGATTCTGTACACAATTTTCTTTTTCTTTTCGTTCTTTCTGACCTTGTGACATACATACCCACACTGTATAGATCGCTTTTTTAAGTAACTACTAGCAGTAGCATTTCTTAATAAATTATTAGGGAACATTTCAAAATTAATATTGTTCTGTCGCGCTTAAAACATTCAGCATGATTTATTACTCCAGTTCTTCTCATCATCTTATACACACACATGCAAATATTTATCGATATTTTGCTAGAAAAAGAAGACATTTCAGCTTTTTCCAAAATGAATGTATTTTTATGGTGGTCGTGAACATAACTGAACAACTATTTTCTAACTTAACGAACAATAATCGTAGCGTGTAATGAATGCAACTTCCTGAATTGACAACATGATTTTATTATGCTAATGCCACGTTTTCGACCCTTATGGTCATTATCAAAGCAAATTCTTCAAACTTAACATACAACTAAGATACTGATAAAGATTACGACGTTTGAAACAGCCGGTGGAACTATATTGTGTAAGCTAGTGTTGCTTTCAAATATAGATCCCTAGTCGAAAGTCACGTAACAAGTCCTGCGGGACTTCACTGGGACTCCCACGAGAGTCTTCGGGTCTTTTTTTCATTTTAGTTCAACGCTTCTTTACTTGATGGTGAGCCATTTGTGAGTCAAATGTTCGATTGTTGCCAACAACATCACTTTTTGTTCTTCTCTTTCCACTTTCAAATTATATTTTTCAGAAATTTTTATACGACTAAATAAGTGTCAGGTGCCATCAGTTCAAATTAGCCTGCGACTAATTACTCTTAAGAAACTATTTAATTCAAGTAGTCATTAGTGGTCACTAGTTTGTTAGTCGTCAATGAATATGTGAAAAAACTTTCAGATTTTTTAAAAAAATAACTGAGTTTTATATACCTATGTCACTGATCAAACGAAAGAGTGATTCGGAAGTCCCATGGGCCTTTCCACTTTTCTAGGAGTTCCGCAGGATTTGTCATAATTGTCGATTCATTTGTTTTACATTTGATACCACGGAGTATTAGCAACGCGTCCAAAAACTGTGATATTACCCTTTTACGCAAACTGATTTGTCAGATTGATCTGAAGAAGTTTTGCAACAGAACCGTTTTGGAGGCAAAAACTTAGGCAAAGGCAATTTCGACAGAAGAATGTTTTGTCTATGTTATCTAATGATATAACGTCATTTTCCTAGACGAAAAAATGTAAGAAAAAAACATTTTACTTATCTTATGAGTGATCTTTGAGAGGTGATCTATTGGTGCCCAATCGACGAAGAAGCACTCGGGTTTAAATGATGACTGGTTTCAAACCAAATACTTTTTACTACTAAACGTAAAAAACAAAGCGTAAAAAACAAAGTGAACCAAGCTGATGCAATCGTTACTTCAATCCTCCGGAATAGAAGGTCATGACCTTCTATTATGATTTCGCTGATCGAGCATTTTTTTCAAAAAAGCATCCCATCCATGTTGCAGCAAACTGGCCTTCTAATGTAGAGTGTCCTTCTATTATGAGGAGTTTACGAT